TAACTGGAAAAATCAAAATTAATTTGCTCACTTAATCCTAATTGCAGTGATGTAAATCACTACACTTTGTTCTCCACAGATGAGTATTTTGTAATGCAGTTGAGGCATCTTGTTGACACAATGGGCCTGCTTTTGACAGTGCACCTTTTTTATGTTGATTTAGGGGTATTTTTTTAGTTTCTTATGCCATTTATTTTTGTACTGTTTTCAGAATTTATAGGGGAGGGCATTGTGTTGTTTAAACTTTACATTAATTTCATCTTACGGATTCTGGACGATCAAGTCATTTCTCTTTGTCTTGTGCTTCTTTGTTCCACCCTTTTCCCCCCATAATCAGAAAATTGCTTGTACATCTGGTTGTGAATGTGCCTCCATAAACCTCTACTGAAAAGCCACCCTAACAATGTAGAATCTGGGTTAATAATAGGAATTTAAGAAACCAACCTGGGGAAGTATTGATGCTTTCTCTTGTTGCAAATTATTGTTCCTTCCTGAATGTATGTCGACCTTGATTTGTAAGAAATATTTCATGATGTTGAGTTTTCCCTTTCTTTTTGTAGACACATCCAACACAAACTGCATTCTTATCCAGTGTTGATCTTCATACTCATTGTTCTTATCAGCTAATGTTGCCAGAGGCCATTGCAATTGTTTGTTCACCAAAGCATAATGAGTGAGTTCTGATTTTTCTAAGTAATGTTTAGATATTTTCCCCTGCTCCTTATCATAAAATCTGATCAAACGCAAACAGCACATGTCAGCTGGGATGAAGGGCAGGAATACTGTATTGTGAGTTTGTTTTCTTTAAATTGTTTAGACTTGCATTCCAGTCAGTCTCTATGCACAGTTGTTTCTGGCTTCTCTCTCCTTCTTCCCTCCCAGCCTCAGGTTTCAAATTTTATTTATTTTTATACTCTGCTCAACCAAGAAGTAACAACAGGAACTGTTCTTGTGGAGACCTCACTGCCAGTGTCCTACCACAGACCTATGTTCATTATGTCTGATGAGGGAAGTGTGGAGCAGCTAGACGTAATTCTCTAGGATGATAGGAAAACTGCAGTTTGAGGAGTAGAGGGATAACGATCACTTTTTTGATGATAAGGTCTTATTTTGTAGCTGGAAAAAACCTGGAACTGTGTAAGTATTAGTGTGAAGGTTGTAATGGAACAGGTTGCTCAGAGAGGGTGTGAAGTCTACATCCTTCGAGATATTAAAAAGCTGACTGGACATGGTCCAAGCTGTTCAAGGTGATTCTGCTGGAGCAGGGGCATTGGACTAGATAATCTTCAGAGAATCCTTCCAACCTTGGCAATTTTGTGATTCTGTTGGTGTGCTTGGCATTTCAAGGTCCTAGGGCCAACTTCAGTGTTTAGACTGTGCGTTTCTTCAGCCTTTCTTTCTGGATTTCTATCTTTGGTAGATGACTTCTATGAATCAAGTCCTGGTTGCCTATCTTCTTAAATGGGCCTTTTATGTAGCAGAGCTGTAAATACAGATTGGGGGGCAAGTGCATAAGCACTAGGCTTTGTAATCCCAAACACATCTACATACCTTTTCAAAACTCTGGTCTTTCAAACCTCTCTCATAGTTTATGCTGATGTCCTCTAACCAACTCTAAACTGTTACTCCTATCTGTAACATTAATCAGGTGCTGTCCTGTAATTATTAGGTATTAGTGTTCTTTACAGAAGGGTGGGGTTTCTAACGTTTTATTTAATACTCAAAATGTTAGATCAAATGTATGCAGCAGTGCATTTTTGTAGTGCTTTCTAGTACATGATTACCTAAAAGAGGGGTGAGGATGTCTATTCTCACTAATCACTTACACAGCTAGTTTAAAGGCTATTCTCTTGTAAATTGCCCCTCTAGAGTTCAGCAAGTGAAACGAAATCCAGAATAGCCAAATTGCTGGTTTGTATCTAATCCTGTATAATCTAGCCTCAGCTCTTAGTAGGCTTACCTGCCTAATGGGAATAGAGTCAGTACTGTGATTTTTTTTTTTTTTCTCCTCTTCCCCTCATCATCTTTTCCTTTATGGGAATGCAATTCCCCTTGGTTTCAAATACCTTTAAGAATCTAACTCAGTCTTGGCTCCTATGTATCAAAGGTAAATGAGTACCAATCTGTTGTCCTTCTGTTAAGCTGAGCAATTTGTATGAGAAACCCTGGACTTGTATGATGAGAGCAGTCTGTAAGAGGAGTTTCATCTTTTGCTTTTCAGCACTGGCATCTTTAGACTTACTAATGCTGGCATGCTAGAAGTTGCTGCTTGTAAAAAGAAGGGATTCCATCCACATACGAAGGACCCTAGGTTATTTAATGTAAGTATATGATCCAACACAGTTTTGACTATTCAGACTCTTCCTCATGGTTCTGCTGCAAGCGGAAATTATATGTGCTTCAGATTAAATTTCTTCATAATTTTTCACACATTTTAATAATTTGTTACCCTTACTTCACTTTCTGAGACTGACATTGGGAATCTACCTAAGCAGTTGATAGCAGTCATGAGGTAAGTATTGCACACTGCTCTTCAGATAGTGGCTAACCAGAGGCAGTTACCATCAGTCACCACTTTTACTTACAGCAGAAGAAAAAGCCACAGTTTCAAATAGGAGTGATTCCTGAGCTCTTCAGTTTTTAATCAAAGAATTCAGTTCATCTCCTCAATTGTAGTGTCCAAACAGAACACCTCAGCTGATAAAATGTGCACCTATGAATAGATGAAGCCTTATTTCCTTCACTGCCCATAATTTTCTCCTGGCTTCCCATAAGGCTTTCTCAGTATCAACTGTATCTTTTGATGTTTTAATAGCATAGTATAGTATACTGCATGTATGGCTGAACAGTGAGCCAGAATTATCAGAAATGTCTCTGTTATCTGGAAGACAACAATCTTTACCTTTGAAAATTAAGAACTTTTTTAAATGAGGCTCACTTCAAATATCAAGTGCAGAGAAGTAATTACAGTGTCAGAATTTCCCGACATTGGAAATTACTTCTTTGCTGTAGAACAATTAAAAGCAAACAATAGTCATCTTATGCTATTTTGCTGAAACTGATTTATATAACTGGTTGATTTTTTTTTTTGCAGTCATGTACCCATGTGGTTGGCAAAGACATAAAGATAATTGTGCTGGATCTGAGGTAATACGGCTGGATGACAGTGATGTTACTACACAAATGGCCAAACCAGAAAAATGGATTCCTGTTTTTCTTACATTTTCAGAAATAACTTTTATATTTATACATTTTAGATTGAATGGTTTGATATTTATTGCTCTAGCCTGTTTTGGAGTTATTTTGTTGCTCTGTCAAGATGAAGTTCAGTGGCATTATCCCTGAATATGTAAACAAATATCACCTATAAAACACAACAATAAAATGAACTTCAAACAACAGTAACTGTTGAAATAACTAATGTTTCTGTTGTCACTTGTTTGAGAATGAGAGATTTTTAACAGTGGTTGGCTTTTTGTGGCTTCCAGCTATGTACATCTCTTCACTGCTTCCATTAATTTACATTATATGTAGTAGAGGCAAACACATCGGTTTGGGAGGGTTTGTTTTTTTTTTTCATCCTTTTCCCCATTCCATCCTTGTATAGCTTAAGTTATTACGCAGAAACTACTTAGGAAAACACAGGTCCTTTACCTGAGAGCTGACCCTCATTCATGTCTTGGAATAGCAGAGATGCATCAGAGTCCTTTGGAGAAATGTGTCTTCTCTAGCAACCCTTCAGTAGAACTTTTATTTGAAACTATATTCTTATCCTCAAAGAGAATCCCTGGATCTATCTACAGTTAGATAAAAATATCTAGATAGAGTTACAAGGAAGAATCATACAAAGTTAATTGCTTTTACAAGAGTTTATTTATTTATCTGTTCCAAGAACCTAGATGACCTGTATTTTAAATAATAAGGTTACTAAAAAAAAGTTTGGAACATGTGCTAATAGTCAGAAGATGGGCGAGACCAGGAACCCAGGGGTTATGCAGACACAGTAAATAGCAGGTGCTGTTGCAAAGAGCTTACAGTTTGAAAGATAATGAGTATCAGACAAGTGAGGTAAACAAGTTGAGACAGGAAAATAGGTAACAAAAATAAATAGCATCCTTTATCCTGAACTCAGATGAATACAGATTGCAGCAAGTTACTTAGAATTGACCTTTTCCAGGTCTGTCTCAGTGAATTCTTTATTCATACATATACTTTCAAGACAGTATTACTGGCTTCAGCTTCTATGTATATATTTCTAGTTTAATATCAATTCCGATGTATTTAAGACTATAAATGGAATCAGAAAAATTACAGAATACGAAAATCATCTAAATTATTTTATCTATGTTGATTTCATTAACCACAGCCCCCCCAAAAAAGGCTTTGAGGAAAAAGTATATTAAGCCAGCTTAATTACCCTTTAGATCTTGCCAGAAATCACAACATAAAAATAAACGGCGGCACTCACCCTGAGGGCACACGGCAGGAAAGTCATGTGTTCCATCTAATATTAGTGTTTAGATATGCTGCTAAAGAAATAGGCTTCATTTCTTTAAAGAAAACACACAGAGCTGTGGTACTACACATCTTACACCTCTGGGCCACACACTAAGAAATTAGCTTTTCCAGCATGACAGCTGTGAAATAAGAAGTGGCGTGGATAGATAATATTTCTGGATAGAGCAGTTGCAAAGCACAGTACACATGCTCATCCTGATATCAAATAGATGCTGTGATGCTTCGGTACTGCCCAGAACTTAGGAAAAATCAAGACTGGTTCTGTCTGTAGACTACACTGTTTTCTGAGGCTGAACCTTGAGAATATACAGCCTGATAGTTGAGCATGTTCTAGCAGTGGTATCATTGAGCAAATGGTACCACTTTTTCTATTAAGCCCAGTTTAGTGCAGTAACAAATTCATGTCACAAGATGGAGCTTCAAGCCAGCTATAACAGTACCTGCACAAATGCGTGTTGTTTTTTTAAAAATAGGAGCAGCAATTTCATAACATATTTAAAATGTATTCCCCCCAAAATACACAGTATCCAATTAGAGTAATTATGATGAAGGCTTTATGGAATGAAATTAAGGATGTATTTTCCTCAATACATTCACAGTAATATGCTAAGGAGTCATATAAAGATAAAGCAATTTAGAAGCATTTGCGGTGGACAATGGATGGGCCAGCTTCATCATATTCCTGTTTGCTGATCCACATCTGCTGGAAAGTAGACAGGGAGGCAAGAATCGAGCCTCCAATCCAGACGGAGTACTTACGTTCAGGAGGAGCAATTATCTGTTTAAAAAATAAAACCATTAAGTACAACTCTACTGTGAATAAAATACATTCATTATACAAAAGCATTAAAGCATTGATATTAGCAAAAACACTGTCTATGTGCTGGTGTCATCCCTGGCATTACAGTTAGCCAGTGCTGCAAGCAGTGAAGTTAAAAAGCAAATGAGTCACCTATGGTGCACTCTCACGGGTATATCTGATAAAGTGTTTGCAAAGCAAGGGACAGAAGATTTGAAGCAGCCGATGGGAGATGGGCTTGTCAGAGGCTCTTTCTGTTCTGAACTTGCCAGGAATAAAACCAGCATTTCCTCTCTCCCATCTTCATCAGCCAAAAAGGGCTTAAGAAGCTCACATATAGCCCCAGAGGAAAATCTGTGCTGCTGGGTTCACACTGTTCTTTGGCCATGTTAGGGCAGTTTGTGGAATTCACTATGAACAGGGAAATGAGAGGAGAGAGGGCTCTTTCCTTCCAGCAACAAAGTTACTACATGGTGATTATTTGCTAGAAGGTGCAGACACGATTCAGATATGTACAAAGCACTTACGTTGTAAAGTGTTGCTATGTTTCACTAGATTTTCAAGGACTTCGTACTTGCCAATTTAAACAGTTTACAAATGATTGCACCATACCTTGATCTTCATAGTGCTGGGAGCCAGAGCAGTGATTTCCTTCTGCATCCTGTCTGCAATACCCGGGTACATTGTAGTGCCTCCAGACAGCACGTTGTTGGCATAAAGGTCCTTTCTGATGTCTATGTCGCACTTCATAATACTGTTGTAAGTGGTTTCATGAATGCCAGCGGACTCCATGCCTGAGGAAAGTACAGAAGAACACTGATAATGGAACTCTGTGCAGAGTCTCAGAATCATTAACACAGAACTGACAACTTTAGCGTTTCTTTGGAATACATCAGTCTTCACAGCTGTTGAAATCTGCAAGGTCATTCTGCAGCTGCCTAAATTATCTGCTTAGGAGTTCCTTGGTGTACAGCCCTCCTCTCCCTCTTACGCACACAACTCCTCCTTAAAAAGAAAGCTGGAATAGCAAAGTTTCCACTAGGCTTTTGCAGGCAATCTCAAATGTCTTAAGAATTCCTTTTATGGTCTTGGAATTATTTGTTTTCTTTTTCTTTTCGTTTTCTTTTTTTTTTTTCCCTAAAATTAAGCCAGCTCAGAGATAGAACAGTCAAAATATGCCCTAATACCTCCAAGCATGCAACTACTTTATTTCTGAGCTGAAAATCTGCTGCTTGGCAGAACTAGCACTGGATTTCTGTGTGACCCCCTTGCAAGTCTGCCTTCATGGCAGTTGATTAGCATGGCATTGTCTTGGCTTTGCTCTGCAAAAGTGATTACCCATGGATTCAGGATTGGTAGCAGTCTTTCTGAAAAATAAAAGGAGTCCTTCTTGTCCCCATTGTCATCTTCAAGCACATTCAAGTAACAGACCTTACACTATCTAGAAAAGTGACTTTGCAGCCACACTCCTCATAGTAGCCAACTGCACAACATACAAAATGGCACAGGCCAAACGTCAGAAGCCAGGAATAAACATTCAGGGTTTATTTTGGGACAGCATTTTGCCTTACTGTTTTACATGAAGTTCCTCCCACCATACTACTGGTGCTGTTCTACAAGATTACTTTATAATGGATGCTAGGACATACTTGTGTACAGGTCTGAGTGACCTAGCAATGGGACATAATCAAAAGAAAACAGAGTTTTTGTGCAGTTTGCCCATGCAGAAGAATCATTCCACCTACCAATGAAAGATGGCTGGAAGAGGGTCTCTGGACAGCGGAAGCGTTCGTTTCCAATGGTGATCACCTGACCATCAGGCAGCTCATAGCTTTTTTCCAGAGAGGAGGAAGAGGCAGCAGTGGCCATCTCATTTTCAAAGTCCAGGGCTACGTAACACAGCTTCTCCTTAATGTCACGGACAATTTCACGCTCAGCTGTCAAAAGGATTCAATCTTTAGAATGGCATTCTAGGATCCAGACATTTTGACAGGTTGTTCCTTTTCACCCTCCAACACCCTCCCAATTTTTTAAACAAATCCTTTCCTATTGGATTCCTGCTTGTGTTTATTCAACTGCAGAACCCCTGCTAATCCTTCTAAAGCCACTAGAAACATTGCACATGAAACAACTGCCCTCCTCAGTCAGCAGGGTGTCCTTACCCGTGGTCACAAAGGAGTAGCCACGTTCTGTCAGGATTTTCATGAGGTAGTCTGTCAGGTCACGGCCAGCCAGATCCAGACGCATGATGGCATGTGGCAGGGCGTAGCCTTCATAGATTGGCACATTGTGGGTGACACCATCCCCAGAATCAAGCACAATCCCTTTGGGAAGATAACACACAATTCATTCCCAGGTGCACATCAACACATTTAACTGTCTCAGAGGTCTGTGTCACGTTCCCCAGAGGCCTACCTGTGGTACGTCCAGAAGCGTAGAGCGACAGAACAGCTTGAATGGCTACATACATGGCTGGCACGTTGAAAGTCTCGAACATGATCTGAAATACAATTAAAAGAATTGCCTTAACACTAGGGGTTTCAGCCTAGTTGAAGCAATTTACTAGAAGAAGACAAGGTTTTCGTATTAGTGGTTGGTGATAACAAGGAAGGAAAATATCTAAATCCAAAAATATTTGTCTTATAAGATGTCTCCCTGTATCTGCCATATATCTTAAATGTGTAAATATAGTCACATGCACATGTTAAAGATAATTTTGCAATAAGCCTGGTCATAAAAACAGATTAAGATGACAAAGTTTGGACAGGCTGAAGTATTCACATTCAAAGTGGATACTTTGATTTTCTAAATGTAATAACATGCAAATATGACAAGTTCTCACTATGCACTTTCCATCTTCCATAACTAAGAAAGGTAGACTACTGGAAAGCATGACTAACTGAAATGATGATGTTCGCATCCTGTGGAATTCACAAAGTTGGAATTATTCCACAGCTTTAGTGTGATCTAACCTGGGTCATTTTCTCTCGGTTGGCTTTGGGATTCAGTGGTGCTTCAGTAAGCAGAGTCGGGTGTTCTTCAGGTGCAACACGGAGCTCATTATAGAAAGAGTGATGCCAGATCTGAGGACAAGGGAGAAGCCAAAGAAAAGAAATACCATCAGTCAGTAGCTCAGAATCACTTCCAGACAGGTATTGTGCTATAACACTCTGTTTACATCACTGGAGATGGGCTAGTAGTATTTCTCATGGAGTTCTTATTGCCTTCATAGAGATTACCAAAGTAACCGTAGAAAGAGAAGCACTATCCCCAGGTTTCAATACTAGTAATAGAGGACTTATTTTAAGGACATAGATTAATTAAAATATGTTATTCTTATGGTAGAAGAATCAGAACAGGATGAGACTTGGTTCCAAGAACAGTATTTCAGTGATGATTGGAAGGGAAACTGTTCCAGAAAAACTCTAGAACATAAGCAGACCCACGTAGTAGAGGTCAATAGATAATGGGTCTCTTGAAGACATTTCCATCTTTTGGTTTGTAGAGGCCAGCCCAAGAATTCATAGAAAGAAGGCAAATGGTTTGTGGGGCTGAAAGTCAACTTGCATTTATTACCTCCACAGGATTCATTACCACTGCCTATAAAAATATGAGGCTAAGTGGACTGCAATAAGGAGGTTCATACACTAATAAGAAGCACAACCACCAGAGACTTTCTAAAGGCCAGGACGTTTCTTCTAAGCTTGTTTTCAAGCTGGTGGTGGTTAGGGACTGGTTGACATGTTAAGCACCTGAAAGGTTTTGCTTCCAAGTAAAACCTACAGTGCTATTAGAGTCAGTAAGTCTGTGTTACTCCTCATGCTTGCAGTGTGCTTTGATGTCCTGACTGTTCCAAATAGCACTATTTCCACAGCAAATAAAGATACCATCTCAGAAATTATATCAGCCATACAGACTGTGACTGTAAACATGGTTCTGGAAGACTTTTATCGAAATACTTTCCCTGAAATGGATGCATTACACTGCAATATTGTTTATCTTTCAAGCATTAAAAAGTATGTGTGTGAGCAATACCCTTTACAGTGGGATTACATACATATTTTTCATTTTTGCAGAATCAGGTACCTTCTTATATTCCACTTCCTTACTAGCAAATTGAGGATATTTTTTCCCTCCAGATTTATAAATCAGACTGGAGTAAGGGAACTCCCAAGAACTATTTTGATGTAGTCCTAGTGATACTCTATCTTTAGGTGCAAGATAACCTTTGCTGTTAACTAACTTCTCATTAAACCATACTTGATAGCATGACATTTTCATCTAAAATTTAGTGAGTATTCTGTAAACATTTGATTCAAGTAGCCCTGTTTACCAGTGATACACATCAGCTTTTCAAAGTTGAAATACCTTCTCCATATCATCCCAGTTTGTAATGATGCCGTGTTCAATGGGGTATTTCAAGGTCAGGATTCCTCTCTTGCTTTGAGCCTCGTCACCAACGTAGCTGTCTTTTTGACCCATACCGACCATCACGCCCTACAAAGTAACACAAATGGAGTCAGTCTCTCAGGGAGAGGTGTCACAAAGTAGATAGAACATTAGCTGTGAAATAAATCCAGTTGCCAGTTACACTAGTTACAAAATACTTTATGAATACTAATGAATGAACTTATTTCTTATTAAAAGCAAAAAATAAATGTTTAGTTCAATTAAATCTCTGGAGTTCACGTTTCCGCTTCAGTGTAAGTAAACAGAGCAAGTACAATGTCAAATTCATCAAGATAAATTGGAAAAAGTAGGGTTGGTTTAATGTTCATTATAATTTAGGCATGACCTGTTTGCTAAATTATAATGAAGTGGAGTAAAACCAGAAAGGGATTTTGTGCCATCTAAGGGTCGAGACGGAGCAATACATGCTTTGCATTTCCCAGAGCTTAAATCCTTCCTTCAGGAGGCTAATGCTGTGATATGTGATAAGGAAAGAAAGGTTCTAGAAATCTGCATTTCCGCTGTGACAGTATGGCTTGGTTTTGAGCAATTAATACTGTTCACACTATCTACAGAAGCTGGCTTTTGAACATATTTTTTAAATTACAGTAATGCCCACAGGCCTCAGTTAGACCTCCAGCCCTAGCTGCTATGCTGAAAGGCAAACATTTCTCCAGCCCTGAAGAACTTTAAATGCTTTTGCTGGGTATATAAATTGCCACATCTTATAACTAGTTTAGCTCCACTTCATCAGGGCCTCAGATGGCACAGAAGCAATTAAGTGGAACTGCTGATTAGGTGGATTAATTTGTTGTGGCCTAACCAAGCTGCTTTATTTCTTGCTAATGACAATGTGGCTCAGAAATTCTGTATTTAACAGCTCAGACAATAAATGTATTTTGCAAATTATTAAAATGGAGTGGAATGCATCATATACTCAAATATAAATCTTGAAGCTAAAGAAACTCCACCTTAGATGGGTTATGATACAGCTAAATGAATATAGTCAGCAAAGTTAACAGAAAGCTGCTTGAAAAATTCTTCTAATTTTCCACATATCACCTATCATCAGCTTTTAGGGGAGTAAGAATTTAAAGATACATCTGTGTTGGGCTTTTTTGTTTTGGTTTGGTTTTTAAACTAGCTTTATTGACCGAGTTCTCTGGGTAATCCAAAATTAAGGGCCAGGGGAAAGGGCACAGAAAGGAGTGAAAAATTTTAGAAGGATTCCTCTCACAAGGCAAGGGATTGGTTTTGACTTAGGTGCGTGCACTGCTGAACTCATTTTGCCTGGAAATACTGTGTCACAAAGACCACAGGAAAAGGTGTCCCTGGAGTGGAAAACTGGGGATGGGGCAACAAAGCCTTCTACAAGCCCAGCATGGGAAAACCAAAGCAGTTCATCACCTGGTGCCTGGGACGACCCACGATGGAAGGGAAAACTGCTCTGGGAGCATCATCCCCAGCAAAGCCAGCTTTACAGAGCCCTGACCCATTGTCACAGACAAGTGCAGTGCTGTCTTCTTCCTCACACATCTTCTATGTCCACGTGCTCAGGCTCTCCAGACAGAAAATGACCCTATGAAAACAACAGGAAAGAATAAAGCAACCTGCACCAGCAAAGAGAGCTAAGGCTCTGGTTTGGTGATCACAAGGCCTAGGGGGCCATACGAGGGAACAAGCTTCATTTTGGAAGAGCAAGAGCTTTCAACCACGTCTGCCAGAGGGCTGTACACACCAGAGATTATCCAGGGGATTCCAGAGGAGAATTCCAGTTGGGCAGACCGATCAGAGAGCAGCAAACGTTTATCTAAATTTGGTCACAGAAATCCGTGGCTGGGGGTGGGTGGGAGATAAAAAAGAACTCTGGGTTGACAGCTGCAAAAACAAAGATTCCTTTGCCTTGGATTCAGCACAACTTCCTCTCATTTTCTACCACCCTGACAAAACCTTGGCACATGTGGAAACCTGTCAAAGGTAAGAGCGCTTCAGTCTTCCCCATTCAGTCTTGGGCTTCCCATCAACTAACAACATAAAAAGCTATACCCTTTTCCTGATGCAGGTATTAACCCACTGGGTGAAGATTGCCAAATAGGTTTACATTTAACCTTTTAAAAGAGAAGAAATGTTCCCATTTAAAAAGGGGGGGGGAGGCGGGGAGAAGCCTTTTCCAGTTCTCCCTTAGTCACTCAGAAAAAATAACCTGCCTTTAAAATGAACTCAGGAACAGTATGTGTTTTAAAAGTAGCCATCGCATAGGCTCTATCATAATTTCAAAGCAGGTAGTAAACTGCATTTGTAGAGTGGCAGAGTAATTTGTGTCAGCTCCTTGTCTCAGTAAAAAGAAACAGTTTTTCTCCTCTGGCAAGGGAAAGATAATATGGGTAATAAAAAGGGTTTGAAGGCTTTGTATTAAAGTCAATTACAGAAACAAGCACTGAGTACCAGGACTCAAGAACTATTTGCTCACAATTTATGGCGTGGTAGGGAATCACTTGGCTAGCTCTGAGCCTGGGCTTCCATGCAGAGTTCAACAAATTGCAATGTGTTAACAGCTAAGGGAGACAGCTGTCATCCACAGACCAGCTGACTCCACATGCAGTCTCCAAAACTTTCTGCCACGGGAATATTGGGAATGGAGTCAGCGAGAGCCATGGCTGATAAGCAAGGGAGTCCACAATCTGTTTAGCCTCTACAATGGATGGAATAATCTCAGCCAGATCTCCCAAATCCTTCATTTGAGATCTGCTCTCTCTCCTCACCCAGGCAGCCACAAGACATGGCTGCAGCCCATCTCCTGTAGGCTGCATGGGCAGAGCTCCAGGGAGAAGACAAGGACAGGGAAATCCTAACTTGATGTACTGCAGATATTTTACCGTTATTATTGGGACAGGAAAGTAGGTTGCAGTTTTTGCATTTATTAACCTCCTGGGAAAACAGGCTCTTTATATTCAACCATTTATTGAATGCAGTACAATTGTTATCTAACATGAATGAACACACTGGTTTGGACAAACTATTTCCTAATTAGGAAATAGGTTTTTCAACCGTCTGTTTTTGGAACAGAGTTCGAGGTCAGGGGGTTTGCTCAAACCCATGCAGCTAATGCAATGCCAAAAATCACTTGGGGGAGGGGAAAGATGGGGGCAGGAAAGGCTATACTTTGGAGGACTCTAAATGAAAACCATATTTAGTAATAAAGCACAAAAAGTTGAAAAATCAAAGCTGAATTATTTCAGACAGGGTGCTCTGATGCCAGCCAGTGAGTTACAGCTCAGGACTTCCATGGCATGCAGTAGCAACATCCCACAGCAGCAAATGTCACCAAGTACTATGGAAGCATGGAAATTTTCTCCCAAGTAATTAATGCAGTATTTAGCCTTTCTCCTCTACCTGCTTTACATCTAAAGATAACCAATCACCACAAAAAGTTATTAAGAGAACTCCAGCCCCTCAAGAAATACTGTTCTGTCATGAACACTTGGTATTTTGCAAACCAGTAGTTTCATATACATAGAGACAAGGTTGAATACACACACATCCTCACTGTATCCTGTTAGATGCTAATTTGCACACTTACAGCTCTTCTTACAGTCACATTCCCCAAAACACTCACACTGTCTTACACTGCATTAACCACACTGCAGCAAACATGCTGAGAAACACTACTACACAACCCTTCAGGAACTCTGTTCTGTCCCAAACTAACACCCCAAAGTCACACAGGTTCATTTAAACATGAATGTAACTGTAATTCCAGCTATGGCATTACATAAGCTGACTTTATACAATTGCTGGAGTGCTGGTGGAATCAGCAGATCATCAGGTGGAACTTTTCTTTCCCTTTCAGAAGCGCTATAGAATAAAGGCAACTCAGTATAGACGTTACAAGCATTTTATCAATTCAATTCTAGTAAGTTTGCTTAAGGAAATGACAGCACAGCAGTACATCCCCCTGAATAGCTTCCATTTGAAGTTATTTAATTGAAGTCCTCCAGCAATCTGTAAATCTTACTATTGGTTCAGTGCCACTTACCCTGACAGTGCCTGGCTGGGGATAGCTGTTCTGGGATGGTGCACTCTCTATCTGAGATCTCTGAGGTTATATAGCCCCTTCAGCTCTTCTCCTCCCACTGGCCTCCCAAACAAGGAGCAGAGACAGACAGAGACAGAGCTGAAGTCTCTAACAAAACCATATAGGGACCTTATTACAAAAACCTCTAATCTGGGTGGCCAGAGCCCCTGGGTCTCTTCCATTGCATTCCAGTGTAGAGCTCATGAAACGGGAGGAGACTTTCAGCTGTGTAAGATAAACACTTAAAAACTTCAGGAGAGCTGCTAAAATACAGAGGGATGGAGCGCACCCACAACAGACACCCTCTGGCTGGAAGAGCCCGTGTTAAAACACGAGAGGTTCAGGCCTTCGTACTACTCAAGAGGCAGAATGAGAAATTGGAAGTGAAGCTGTTTCTAATAGGGAAGTTGTTTTTAAAGAAACACTTTGCTTTCATTAAAGATTTTGACAAAAACAATGACAATATTTCTGGCAAGATAAACAGCTCTTCAGTCTTGTTATGAAGCTTAGCATTTTTCGTGTAAGCTAAACTTTTCCCGTAGGCTTAAAGGGTAGTGAAAAGGGTCTGCTGTTGAACAGGGTTCACAGTGAAATCTTCACAGAACATTTTCACAGCCTTTGAAAAGATTGTTATGATCCCCTCTGGACTGCGATGAGTTAGAATTGATTCTGTTTCTCTGACAACTTATTTTCAAAACCTGAGGACCTGTGACCAACTTCATCTTGGTGCTACTCCACGGACGGCCACAAGTGTGGACTGTTGTAAATTCACAACTCAAATTGTTCATAACAAGGCTTTTGAATTTTATAACCTCCAGCTAGCTCTTCTGTTGAACGTATTTTTAGCAAATAAAGCAAAGGTTCTCACTGTACAAGTTATTTTCAGCGCTGGACTGGATTTTTACAGCTGTAGCCAGCTGCTCTCTGGACAGGCTGATTCTAGTGAAGCAGCCCTTCCATAGTCAACAGTATTTTGTCATTCCAAACCAAGCCAACAAAGATGTGAGAACCCAAGTGAGATCCTTGCTTCGTGCGGGGTATCGTATGTTTCATTACAGAGTGTTTGCCATCTTAATGCAAGATGTTCTTAATGCAAGAAAATCTTCCATAAAACCACAGTGGAAGTTTTTCTGATGTGGAGATTTAAGGATAAGGCCACTAGCAGAGATAGCAGATAGGCAGAATTATGGACTGAAAACCCAAAGGAATTTAACTTTTAAGGAAAGGAACTTTTAAGGAAAGTAACTGCCTTTGAGGGACAGAAACAGAAGCTAACAAGTGTTGGAACATGAGCCATGCAAAAGCTATTTATTATGTCACTTCTAGCATTAGGACAAAAGATAAGAGATTTTAATAATAATTTAAAAAAAAAAAAAGGAAAAAACACCACCAAGGTACGCAACCTGAAAAAGAGGATATAGACAGATCCTTTTTTGTGTCTTTTCAGCTGACACTCAAACAACAGCCAAACTCAAATTCTTTGTTTTCAAACAACACTCAGAAACATAGCTGAGAAAAAGTACATACGTATGGTATTAGATCAGGGAACTCAGGTCAAGGGAAGGAGAATTTCACAGAGCAGGACCTTCACTACTGTATCATGTCTGATTTTGATACAAACAGCAATTACCTCTTAGATTGGAGGAAACATAATCCAAGATTTTCAGAAGCATCATCTACTACTACTCCTCCTTGGAAACATCAAGACTGGGACAAAGATCCTGAAGAATCCAAGTTCTTCACCATACCGGAGAGGTTTACACTCCCAACAAGGCTTACTGGTGCTAATGCTACAGCAGACGCTGCACATACAAGTCTGCAGAGCCAAGTAAACAACCCTTCAGTAGAACTGGGACACCATTCATGCTGCACTTCAGCACAGCCAGAAATACAGGCAACAGTGTTCTACACGAGAGGCCTCAGTGGATATTATATGAGGCAGTGGCCATGCAGACACCAGACACCTTTGTATCTCTGTTAAGCTTCTTCACAATTTCTGGGATGAAACTTAGCGTGGTGTGTACCACAACTACCAGTGGTGGCAATGATGGCAGCAGGATCCCCTTGGCTGCCGTGAGGAATGGATCTTTGGGTGGGGATCACGCATCACCTTGCCTGCCATGGGCCAAAAGATGTGAGAACCCTCGCTTTCAGAGTGTTCATGAAAAAGATATATTTGACACAGTCTCATTCAGAGCAGGCAGTTGTTGATAAAGAGCAAACACTAGTTGTTTGCAGGGACCTATCATACAAAGGAAACTTGTTAGAGACAGGGCAATGGAGGGAGAAGTAAGCTCAGGAACTCACGGAGCAGTAGTGATGGATACACAGGAACAGCACAGGAAAAATGCAGAGACGCTACACAACCCTGGCTCCAGCACACAATGGAGAGCCAGTGCTCCACAGGCAGCTCATCCCTGTGGCGTTGTGGAAAGTCCCAGGATAGGAAGGAAGGCAGGCAAACAGGTGAACTATGCAAGGAAATTAGGTCAGTCTGGCTCAAGGGACATTACAGACTATAGGTATTTCTATTCTTTTTAGTGATTCCTTGCTTGAGTTATGATCACAGAGAGATTACTACAGATAAAAATGGGAAAATATTACATTAGTAATTTACACCTTTCTTCTCAGCAACATAGGTCATAGCCAGAGGGGTACGGGGGAAAGGGAAAATGTACTTGCCATGAGATAAAAATAAGAAGCTAAACAGAACTGAATAGAACAAGCCTTCTGGGAACCAAGCTGAGGAACCTGCTTCTGTAGCTCTAGACACATACCAGCCTAGCCCAAATATACACATATTTTAATTATTTTTTTTTCATGAAGAAGAGCACAACATGATTCCTGAAAGCAGGTTAGCTTCCCCTCTCGAGGCAGCTGTTATCACCACTTTCTGCTACCTATCTTTCAATACTTATCTTTCATTTGTATAAAAACCACCACAGCACAACTTGTTCACTATGCTTTCACCCTGAGGTTCTAGTTCTTCTGTTGTATCCATAGCCAAAACCTATGTTCTTTATTTGGCTTTTGCTGAGACCTTCTCTGTTTGCCATGCTAAACCCTTCTGCCAGTCTCCATCACACAACCATGTCCAGAGTATGATCAGAGACAGGAAAATAAGCAGAAAAAGTAATTTTTTCCTCTTTCTTCTGCACCTTTTTCCCTGATCTCTTTACAGTGATACTAGCAAAGCATCCTGGGAACTTCCCTACTGATTTCAAGCATCTTTCAAGATATTAGTGGAAACCCTTAGCTACATATTCCTTAAGTTCTTTGCTTTTCAGTAATTTGTGCAGATTTTTGCACAGACACAAAACATGCTTGGGGCTCCACAGCAGCAGCAGCTGAACAGCCCCCATGCCTAGGAAACGGGCTTCAGCTGGCCTGCAGGATGCCAGCTCAGAGGCCACACACCAGTTCGTGGCTGCCACACTTTTTCGTAAAGGACAGCAGAAGCTGCAGTCTTAGTCCAACTACTATAGAAAACTGGGAATAAAGTAACCTCTTTGCTCATAACATTACAAGCTGTTACTTTATAAGGGAAAAACAACTTCTGAGATGTGCGTGGAGACCTTCCTGCCTACATCCAATTGGCTGTTTAGGAATGAGGCTCTGCTAAATATGTCTCTGGCTCCTTTTTATTTGGGGATTCCTTTCATCTTCGTAGCATTAGCAGAAGCTCTAAATGTTTTGGTTTGTCTGGCTTCAGGCCCTCTCCTCTATCTCATTGATAGGCTTTACACTTCCCCACTCCCTGTTTTGAGAAAGACAGGAATAAATAAGCTTGATGGAGCAGAAAATCTCTCTAATAACCTGATTCATTGCAGCTGTCACACAGTATGCATCTGTAAAATGTCAGATCAACCATAGGCTGTCAGACCCATTGACCAGCTTTCTCTACAACGTCAGGCTCTTGCACTGGTTTCTCTCTAATAACAAAAGTAAAATGCCTCTAATCATTCTCAAATACGGCAACTTTCAACCTAGAAAGTTTGGAAAAGTTTTTCTGGTGCTGATCAAGAGTTAGAGGATACACTGTTTACCTCCTGGGCCTCTTGAGCAGGATGATGAAGCACATTAATTCAGAGCCTTCCTTCATCTTCTTGATGAGGTATCTTCCTCCATGGCAAAGTTATCCCACATTCTAAATCAAAGGAACATATTCAAAGTAAAAATGAGCTAATGGCTCCCTCCCCATCCTTCTTAGACAAATAAATAGAACATAAGTATGAGCCCTGCTGGGTCAGGTTGACACCCCTCTAGCTCAGCATCCTGTCTGTGAGATTTCCTGATAGCAGATGCTTAGGCAAGAAACGGGAAGCCTACAGTAATAATTTTCATCTTATATCCTTTCTGCTTCCTTATGTGCAGCATAACAATTACTTGACACAGGAGTTTGTACCTATATTTTCATGTAAAACCAGTGCAGACAGATTTTTCCTCCATAAATTTGTGTAATTTAAACACATAGTTTTGGAGATAGAGTGCCGTGCATGATTTTTGTGGAAATAAGATCTATATTTTTATCTGCAAGGCAGCACCCATAGCTCACAGTCTAGCTGGTGTAGACATGCCAAATGTTAGAAAGAAAACATGAAGTATATCAGAAGCATAGCCAAGGGAACACTGTCATTATTCCAAGAGCTGCAAATGCCCCAGAGATCCTGGATAAGGCCTCAGACCACTGGCCAAGCTCTGCCCCAGTGTGCATGAATTCTCAGCAGCACCTCAGTATCTTGTTCACGGTTCATGCAGACGTACCTGTCCTCCTACATGACACTGGAGACAAGGCTTCACAAGGATGTTACATCAGCACATCTCCGAAGAGCTAAGAGAGAACAGATTCCCTATGATTACCAGAACCTCTCTGATAACAGATTATCTGAATTTGTCAAAATGTAAATGAATTCTTCCCAACACATCACTGCAAAACACAAGCCCCATACTCCTCAGGAAGTCAGGCCCAGCAGCAGAGCGTGAACAGCGCAGCAGGTTTGGAC